AATAACATTTGTTAACATTTTTTTATGTGTATACTGTGTGTTGTCACCAATAAAGTCTGCTTGGCGAGATTTGCGCCAGCGAAACGGAAAAGTACCACAGAAAATGCACACATGACAGAATTTAAAGTCATTGCACTAACTCGCATTTCTTTTCTTAGCTGAGTTTACAATTTACATGCATTACAATAAATAAGAGTGTTAAGGCATATTCCTGTGTTCAGTTCACAAGAAAGTCACGTCACCTGCACAAAATTTGCAATACTAGAATTTCATCTCCAGGCAGAATTACCATATTTAGTACTTTGATTATTCTCAACCCCACTGAAATTGCATAAACTTTTAGCCAACTATGGATAGAAACATTTATTTGAATATCATTACATCTATTTTAATATGATGCATCCACAGCTGCTCATGTTTTTTTCATTCGTCTTTTTCCATGCAAGATATGTAGTACAAAATCCAAACATCCGTTATCCGGAATAATCTAAAATCTGGACTTCAAATCCACAAACATTTTTCTTTTTTTTGTATGCTTTACGCATAAGCATAATAAAACATGTGGAGATTTTCACCTAAAAATTTCAATTCTTAATTTCACTTATTCACTAAATAAAATACCTCGTTATGGAAAAACAATCACGTAAGCATAAATTTGTGAGATTAGTCCGAGTGACCTTATTTACAAATTTTCCATGTCTTCAGTCAAACAAAATTCCTTAACAGCATCCAAAAACTTTCTAAAATTATCTGAACTAGAATCTGTATACTGGTATCGCGACATAAATTCGCAAAAATAAGAGTAAAAAATATTCTCTGTAGAGCAGGTATCCTCCGACATATGACCATATGCATTTTCTTTCTACAAACAGGACACTTATAACAAAGATACTACGAAGTAAATTTTTCATTTACACACCAGCCAATTAATGCTTTTTTCCCCATTTTGTTCCAAATTGCAAAGAAACTTCAAATTAAACTAACAACATTCCTTCATTTTACCATGTAAACCACAAAACATCGTTCTTGTCCAAAATCCAACACAAACAAGCCTTTCCAAATCTTTACCTATCATTCAAATTCACCGCAATCATGCAACATAATAGGGTTTCCATAGCATTCAACTACTCAGGTTACTATAAATGAAACAACCTGCCTTCATGGAGGACATTCTAAGGAATAGTGACTTGTATACACGTCACACACAGGGAAAACCAAGAAAAGAGCCGAGCTTCAAACCCAGACTGAACTACCAGTGTTCAGTGACTTTATCACTTGGCTGTTTGTCGGCTAGCCTTTTGAAAAGAAGGTGGGATCATTTCTTCATTTTATTCTTCATCCCTGCTACTTAAATGTTCATCTAATAAATAATTTCAATCAGTTCTTCAATTGCACGTGCTGATGTCATTACACTTGTATCACAATTTATATATTCCTTGATTGTAATGTGTAAGCCCAGTAGTTTCCGATCTTTTCATCCATAATCATTTTTACTTTCACCACTTTCACCTGACTCTGGATTCGAAAATCCCTCTTTAATGAAGCAATTTTTAACGCTTTTTGGTTTTATATGAATCCAAGTGAAATCATATTCACAGCCTCAAGAATGCTTCAATCTTTCCGTATATTTCCTGCAGTGATATTTTTAAGAACTATTTGAATTCTTACAGATATGTATACCTACTGTCATATACTTACTGACATATTCTTACTGATCTAAAGGTTTTACCACACCAGTACAATTTGCCAGAAAGATAACAACTTTTGCATTTTGCAAGAAATCTATCATTTGATGATGGGTGGTATACTGGTCCATAAAAAATAAAATTCTGCAGTTTTGTCTACTTTCTTGAGCCCTTCTGTAAAAATGTCCATAGTCATATACGCTTTTGTATTTGCTTTATATTTTCAGAGCCGATCCTAGATCGGTGGCCTCCACAAGTGCAAATTAAAATTGGCCACCCACAAATTGCTGCCAGAAATATAATATGTTTGATAATCACTTTACTACCCTTAAATTTAGCTGCCCAGAGGCTGTGCACCATCTTGCCCTTGCTAGGATCAGCCCTGTGTATTCTAATGGCAGAATTTTAACATGTTTAAGACACCTTGGTTTTTGTTAATTTTCTATAACTAAAGCAGTCATTTTGGTACTTCTGTATTATCACAATCACCTCAGTAGAAGTCGCCAAACTATAGCAGACATGTGCAACAATTCTTTAGGTAACCATATCCAATGCAAGTTCTAATCTGAAAATTCACTGAATCACATTTATTTTTGAAATATATTGCCAAACTGCCCCAAAGTGACTGCACTAAGTGACTTTTCCATACCATTAGCTTTGCACAAACTAAAACAGTCAGACAGTCTTTACTTTGCTTAGCTCTATAATACTGGTCACCTTTGTAATCTAGGATTCCTACAGTTTTCCCCATTAATGAAGAGTAGGTTTCAAAAATCCCCTGCACAGCAGCAGTTTCAAACACATTAAAAATGTCTTTTAATTCACACCTATTTAGTTTGATGGATAAATTCTCAAACCGCTTTTCAACAACTCAGCAGTAACACTTTTTGATTCTCACTTTCTAATATGTCATGAGATTTCATGTCACAGTTGAAATTTATACAGCCGTCCAGTTGAAAAGCAAGTTTCCTTCACATTCAATAAGAGCTTTCTTACTTCTAGATTAACATGGGGCCATTCACTGGAATACTCGATGCATGAAACTATATGAAAAATTTAGGAAAATGGCTTTGACCTCGGGACACTTTCAATTTTTAACACACAATTTTTTTGAAGCAGACCGTCCATAAATTTCTACTCTTTCTTCAACTTTTTTTCTATCATAAACAACAAATTTTAGTGTTGTCACAAGAATATCCAGTTTCTTCATCAAGTCAACTTTCATAAAACTAGTAATCTCATCAAATTCTTTTAAGATCTGAATTTTATCTTTTAATGAGAATGCCATTAGCTTTTGTGACATTTTGTATCATTTAATTCTATAAGTTATTTTCTCCCTCCTTTCTTCACGCCTTCCAGGTGTAACTAGAAGCATACTCAATGCGTACTCGAAAACTCCAGGGTTCAAGTTCCAGTGAGGGCATTGGACATTTTTCACATCTACAGCTTAAAAAAAAAGAAACTAACCACTCTACAAGCGGCACCTAAATAAAAGCGACATTTAACCAAAGTTATACGATGCATAAAAGAAATATTGGCTAATTCTTTGGAATAATTTGGTAACAGGTAGTTTGGCGACATTTTGGTAAGGTGATAAAGGTTACTAGCTAGGACTTTAGCAGTGTACATGAATAAAGTCAAGAGTGTGCGCAATGCCATTTTTGTGCAATTCTGGGATGTTTTTTTAAGTGAAAACAGGTCAACGTGTACATGGATGATACCGTGTATGTGCAATTCTTAAAAACGCGGCAAGCAGTGGGCGATTCTGCACTTTCTCCCAATTTCGCACCTAATCTTCATCACGATTAAGCACTTTTGTTCCATAAAAGTTCTAGCATAAGCGTAATTCGGCTAGCAGATTGTTGGAAAAAAATGTTGAGCTAAAAAAAAAAATGTTTTTACTTCGTGAAAATAATATGGCGCCCACAAAAAAACCTAGCAGGTTGCTGTAGCAGGGTTGGTCGCCAAAAAACTGCCAAGTTACCATAATCCAAAGATTAATGGAAATATTTTATTATTAAAATAGACAGAACTGAATCAGAACCAACACAAAACAACATATGAACAAGAAATGCATAAACAGTGCTCGGTTAATCTTTGGATTATGGTAACTTGGTGATTTTTTGACGAAAATTTGGCAACCAACCCTGCTACAGCAACCTGCTAGTTTTGTTTTGGACGCCATTTTGTTTTCACGAAGTAAAGGCATTTTTTTTTTTTTTTTACTCAACATTTTTTCCAACAATCTGCTAGCCGAATTACGCTTATACTAGAACTTTTATGGAACAAAAATGCTTAATAATGACAAAGATTAGGTGCGAAATTGGGAGAAAGTGCAGAATCGCAAACTGCTTGCCGCGTTTTCAAGAATTGCACATACACGGTATCATCCATGTACACCTTGACCTATTTTCACTTAAAAAAACATCCCAGAATTGCACAAAAATGGCATTGTGCACACTCTTGACTTTATCCATGTACACTACTAAAGTCCTAGCTAGTAACTTTTATCGCCTTACCAAAATGTCGCCAAACTACCTGTTACCATATTCCAAAGATTAGCCCAGTGCTCAACTATATACATAAATGTCAGATTTTATAGAAACAATACTGAAACTATAAGACATCACCATAAGAAGTTTAATTATCCAACCTGCCTTAGGAACTAAAGGGTGATAGAATAAAACAATAAATTGAATTAATTCCAGAAAAAGACAGGAAACTGAAAGCTTTAAAACCGTTCATATACATGTAATCAGTACGTGTACACAAATTTTAATCAGTACGTGTGCATAAAATCGGGGAGGGAGGAAGTGAAAAATTAAACAATTGTATAAAAGTATGTCCATAAATATTTACCTTAGCTCAAGAAAAATTAACAATCTGACCGAGGATATTAGACGAAATGGTTTAAAAATAAAAATATCACTTCCATATGCAGAAAAATTATAGACACACATCGCTAGTAATTTTAATTTGAAATATTTTTAAATTAAACCACTTTAATTTAATATTACAAAGGTTTAGACATAAGCGTAAATTTATAAGGAAATTAATTTCTTCAGAAAAATGTTGATTATCACATTTTATTCGGCTCCCATCGCATTAATGAAATATTCCAGTCCTCTGTAAGTGCAAATACGTCACTTAACGCGGAATGTCAACAACCGTTTAAACCACTAATACACAACGCAAAAGAATCATTCACTTCGAACTCTCTGATAGTGTCAACAAATACACATGATTTTTTGTTTTTATATGACCGATATTTGTTTTTATAAACCGGAAAAGAAACGAAATATTTCGTAAACTTACATACAAGAAAGCCTCTTTTAGAATATAACAAGATTAAGACGATTCAAAACACCCACACGTCTCCATTGCCATTCACATTTTAAGAATGAGACTTACAATTTACGGCCTGCGTTAAGTAATGGATGCTTAACTCCGTTTTATGGCAACTTTGTCGTGCCATATTTGGCGGCGGTGTTTCTTGGTTGACGCCAACGACTTCATATAACAGTATATATCTCGTTGGTTGACGCCAAGATAACCAGGATGTTCAAAGCTTCGTGTAGCGTTATCGGTATGAGAAGAGTATGAAATAGTAATTTAAGAGAAATCATTAATTTTGTGAGGTAATGAAAATTATTTTGGTACCGATAATCTGTTTTTCGTTGTTTAACATCAGAAAACAAATAAGACTGCGAACTGCAATTAGAACTATAGCATATTAAAATGGAGCTTTCGTAATCGTATATCATGAAACTTGTGTTATTCAAATAATGCGATTTGTTTAAAACATTTAAATTGTTTAATAGCTTCAGAAAACATTAATGAAATAAAAATAATCAATGCCACTTTATCTGTCTCTAAAGTCTCATAGAGAAATTACACAACAATAATTTGTCCCATCTTTTCTTCCTGGCCTTCCGAACTCGTAATCTGAAATACAGACCTTTTTTTTTTTTTTTTTTTTTTTTTTTTTTTTACATCTATTACATTTGGGATATTTATTTTAATTTTATTTTGTCCTATCTTTTTCTACTGTCCTTTCGGAACTCGTATTCTGAAATACGAAATTGCGCCCTATCTCAAGGATCAAGGAAGCGTTCAATTACGAGGCTCATAAGGCTTAAGGCCTTTATCCCTACATCATCAAAGATTAAATAATTATCATTAAAAAGAGGGTTCGGCAAAAAGGTAAAATTTAGTGTCGAATTCTCAGAATAACAAGAGGTAAACTGCCTTCCACAATGTAAAAAGTTAAAAACACTGAAGGACTTAATTAATAATTTTGATATCGAAAAAGGGACGGAATCAATTTTGAAGGGTTACGTCATGAATTTTGAAAAGATTCTATGGGGTCTAGTCTGGACACCGGTCGAGATCGTTATCGGAAAACCAGTCGGGATTCCCTTTCCACTCGACAGCAGAAGGGAGAGCGAGTCTGGCCCCTTCGGCGGCGGAAAGTGAAGTGGAAATTCCGTGCGG